AACGATTTTATTTGCAAATCCGGGTTTAAGATATCGGCTAATTTTACCAAACCATTCTCCTTCCATTTTTTGATATTAATATCCTCAATATATATTTGCAATATTTCAATTGGTGAATTTATAGTTAGTTGTTCAATGATCTCTAATTTTTTTCTTCAGCATTTGCATATTAGATGCCCAGAGGTATTGCGAGAATATTTTTTGGTATTCTTTTAATATATATTTTGGAACTTTCATGGGAATGGTTCTCATTATATATTCAAGTTTAGGCAGTAAATAGTGTCTAACCGCATTTGATTTTCCAATCCATGATACGTATAGATTGTTCCATTTAAGTAACATATCTTTTATATTTTTCAGTAATGGGTAATAGTTGATTTTAATTATTTGATTCCAGTCAAAACTTATTTTTACTCCCAAATATTTTATACTCTCACTCGACCAAGTAAATAGGAATTTAGATTTTAAAGATAGAAGTTGTTGTTCACGTAGGTTGGTGTATATTGCCTGTGTTTTATTTATGTTGATTTTATAATTAGAAATAAATCTATACTTCTCAATTAATTCCAGAAATACATATAGTGACTCCTCACATTCAGTTAATGTTAGAATAACATATAGTAGGACCTTGACTTGTTTACCGGCCATAGGAATCCCTTGAATTTTTCCCTCTAGTCTGATAGCTGAGGCAAGTGGTTCTATAGTTAAGGCAAATAGCAATGGTGCCAAGGGACATCCCTGGCGTGTCCCATTATTTACATCAAACCACTCAGATGAGATACCCCTACCCATGACCCTGGCCGTAGGATTCGTATAGAGAGACCAAATTGAATCATATATAAAATCTTGGAAGCCAAATGCTTTAAGGACCCTCGACAGGAACATCCAGTTTACCCTGTCGAAGGCCTTCTCTGCATCCAAAGCAACGAATAGTGATGGGATCTTATTATTCTCTATTACTTGAATTAGATTTAAAAGCCTGCATACATTATGGGCTCCTTTTCTACCCATTATAAATCCAGCTTGATCTGGGTGAGTTAAAGACGGAACAATTTTTTTTATTCTATCAGCCAGTGAGAAGATCCTTGAGAAGATCTTTATATCAATGTTTAATAACGATATAGGTCTGTAATTCGATACAAAATGCGGATCTTTTAGAATAGGTATAATCATTGTTTGTAGCATTTCCTTAGGGAAATATTTCTGGTCCCTCATTTCATTATAGACTTTAAACAAAAGAGAAGGGATAGGAGTGAGGAATATTTTGTAAAAGGTATCAGTGAGACCATCTGGTCCAGGAGCTTTCCCTTTACGGAGTGGTTTTATAGCCTGGCTAATCTCTGTTATGGATATGGGATATTCTAAATCTTTAGTCTGTTCTACATTTATTTTTGGTAAATTACAGTTGAAAAGGAAGGTATCTATATCTTCGATAGTTAATGGGGTCTTTGAGAGGTTATATAATGATTCATAATATTGACCAAATACTTCCCCTATGTCAGTTGGTGCTAAATAATCTTTATTATTATATTTTCTCTTTGTAATCTTTTGTTGTCTTTTTTTTTAATTTTAATTTATTAGAAATTTTTTTACTCGTTCTATTTTCTCCAAAATACCACTGTTGTTTTAACCTTATTGTTTACTTTATTTGATTAATTGGTTTTAATTTGAGTTTGTATTTCTTTAATTTTGTTTAATCTTAATATATTAAAATCTTTTTTATTAATATTTAATATGGCTAATTCTATATAGAGATCCGTTTTTCCCCTGATCTTTTTCAATTTTGTTCCAATTTTTATAAGGTTTCCCCTCATAAAACATTTGTATGTGCACCAAAGAGTACTATTAGAAACTTCTTTATTAACATTGAATCTTATAAATGCTTCTGCTTCTTGGTCTTTTAAATATTTTAGACCATATTCTGAGTCTAAAATGTCATCATTCATCCTCCAAGATGTCCTTCCCTGAGTATCATTTTTTTTGTTTTATGTTAGTTATTATCGTTGCATGATCTGGCCAGGATATATTGTCAATATTAGAATTTTCAAATCTCTGTAAACTACAAGAATTTGTTAAATAAATGTCTATTCTTGAGTACATTTTATGTACATGAGAGAAATATGAATAGTCCCTATTATTGGGATGCTGAACCTCAAGATATCATAAAGATCATGTTCTATCATAATGTTACAAAATGATTTAGCGTTATTGGTTACTTTCCTAGTATAGTGATTGTTCTTACTAGTTAGTGTTCCTTCCATTTTTACGTCTGGTGTAACATTCATATCTCCAACTATCAATAGAGTTCCTTTTTTGATTCTCTTGATTTCATTGAAAACAGATTTGAAAAATGTACAGGAATAGATATTTGGTGCATATAGATTTACCAATGTAAATATTTCTTCATTTAATTTACAAATCACGATCAAACTTCTACCTTGATTATCTTTTTTTCTAAAATAAGTTCGAATTTGGTATGTGCTGAAATTACTATTGCAACTCCTCTCGTCTTTTTGTTATAATTTGATGTGAAGATTAGTGGGAATTTGGTAAATTTCCAATAGTTGGTATTCTGATTCTGCCAATGTGTCTCCTGCACAAAACAGACATCTATTTTATTTTTTCTAATTGTATCATAGAGAAATCCTCTCTTTTCTGCAGTAATCATGGCTTAATATTAATAAAATATACCCAGAATTCATTGGTCCAAAAGAAACATACATAATTCTCATTAATTCCTTTTGGAATTAAGCACCTGTCCAACTTCTCGACCAAAAAAAAACAACAACCTAAAAATTGATCTATGTGCTTGTTCCGTAAGTTAAGGGTTTCTTTTTAAGTGCACCAACTGTATACCAACCATACCCATAACCCTATACTCTAATTGTACACCTACCATCACGTTAAAGGGACACTCCAATAATAAAATAATAAAAATAAAACACTATTTCGTGGATATTCCCCAAATGAAAATGTGCATGCATGAAATTATGCATTATTTTATTGGGGGTATATCTAAAAACATTTTAAAAGCTGCAGGTCTTTTATCTGCTGCAAACCCTCCTCTTCTAACCACACCCAGACTTTCTGTGGCTGTCCAATCAAAGACTTCCCAATGAGCAATTGCTGCCTCTTGAGTTTAGTGACACTGAGCTGAACTACCAGGGTGTAACAAGACAGTTGTCTGACTGGCAATTGGGAGGGAGAGGGGGTGAAAGGGGGGCGAGGAAGGTAACCAGGTTCATTTATAAAAGTGTTAATTTCTATTGAAATCTGAACTTTTTGTCAAATGAAAAATAAAGCTTTTCAGCAAGTTTTTTTCTACTGTTACAGGTAAGATTCATCTGTAGGAAAAGGTTTCTGATTGCACAAGGTTTGAATTCCTGTTGGTAATTATAAGGCATTTGATTTGATTAAGCTAGTTACTTGCTATTGATTGCTGGTTAATTAGCTATTGTTTGCAAAAAGCAGAGGCCTACCCAGGTGTTAAACATTCCTAGTGGGTGGTGATTTTAGGAGTTATATAAGGCTTGGTGTCATTAGCTTGTCTAATATAGCTTGGTACTACTTCCAAGTGCTGTTTCTAAGTGTGTAGTTGGAGATATTCTGGAGAGTTTTACAGAAGCTTCAACTGTCTAAGAGTTGTGCTAAGAGCTTTCTTTTCTACTGTTACAGGTAAGATTCATCTGTAGGAAAAGGTTACTGATTGCACAAGGTTTGATTCCCTGTTGGTAATTATAAGGCATTTGATTTGATTAAGCTAGTTACTTGCTATTGATTGCTGGTTAATTAGCTATTGTTTGCAAATAAGCAGAAGCCTACCCAGGTGTTAAACATTACTAGTGGGTGGTGATTTTAGGAGTTATATAAGGCTTGGTGTCATTAGCTTGTCTAATATAGCTTGGTGCTACTTCTAAGTGCTGTTTCTAAGTGTGTAGTTGGAGATATTCTAGAGAGTGCTGTATCTAAGTGTGTAGTTGGAGATATTCTGGAGAGTGCTGTTTCTAAGTGTGTAGTTGGAGATATTCTAGAGAGTGCTGTATCTAAGTGTGTAGTTGGAGATATTCTGGAGAGTGCTGTTTCTAAGTGTGTAGTTGGAGATATTCTGGAGATAACCTGGAGGTAATCTGAGGTATTCAGGAGGATAAATACAAAGTTAAGATTTGTTAGATTTAAATTATTCTCCTAATTGGAATGGCAGACTTAGTTCAGTGTAACAATTGCAATGCATTTGTTTCACGTTCCACTTTTTGGAGGTTTGGTTGTTGTCTAATCTGTAGACAGTTCTCTATCTTGCGGCAGGAGATTGTACTTTTGAAGTCTGAGATTTGTAAATTATCTGGTGAACAAACTCAGACTGGAACTACTGCAAAGCCACTGCCGCAGAGACAAACTAGGAAAGGCAGATGGATTACTGTAGGATCTGGTAGACTTAGAGTTGTGGATAAAAGGCATATTGCACAGTCTGTTGCTCTACATAATTCATTTTCTGCACTTTCAGAGTGTAATGGTGTTGTGGAGAGAGGCACTGAGGCTAGTAGTGTTGTGGAGAGAGGCACTAAGACTAGTGGTGTTGTGGAGAGAGGCACTGAGGCTAGTGGTGTTGTGGAGAGAGGCACTGAGGCTAGTGGTGTTGTGGAGACCGGCTTGGAGACTATGGTGAGGCCTAATAGAAAGCAGTTGTTGTTGGGGGATTTCATTATAAGAGGTGTGGAGATAGACAATGGTGGTCTTGTGAGGTGACAGAGACAGGAGACGTATCTGTAATATTGTTAAGCAAGCAAAGCAGGAAGGGGAATTGGATGTACTTGTCCATCTAGGGACAAATGACTTGGCTTGCAATGAGGTTTCAGAGGTTAAGGACGTTTTTTGTGTTTTTGCCAATGATATGCGGCAGGTTGCTTCCACACTGTCATTCTCTGAAGTTCTGCCTGTGCATAACACTCAGAACGACAGGCGAATGCGTATTAGGGACTTTAATTTGTGGCTTGGTGAATGGTGTTGGGAGCAAGGATTTGGCTTTATTTCTCATGGTAGCTCTGTTTGGAATGGAGATAAGCTGTACAAAAAAGATCGTTTGCATCTTTCTCAAAAGGGAACAAATGTTCTCAGTGAGCAGTTCAGAGGTTTTGCTAGGATGTATTTAAACTAGGAGGGGGGGGCAAAAGGGTGATAAAACATCAATCCAATTGTCCCCCAAAACAAGGACAGAAGGTGCCTGTAGCAAGTGTGTTAAAAATGATAAGCTTAGAGTCATGTCTACAAATGATCGCAGTTTAGGGAATAAGATCCATGAACTTGTGGCAATAATGGCAGCTGATAGTGTAGATTTAGTCGCTGTTACTGAGACATGGTATAATGAGAAAAATGACTGGGACATAGCAATACCAGGGTACTCTTTATATAGGAAAGATAGGGAAGGCAAGAAAGGGGGAGGGGTGGCCTTGTCTGTGAAGGATAGCATAAAATCTAGCCTAATAAAAGTTAGTGAGGCAAACATAGAGTCCGTTTGGGCTATGTTAGAATTTGTAATCACACAGTAACTCGTGTAGGTGTGATTTATAGGCCCCCAGGACAAATTGAAGAGTTAGATAATCTACTAGTTGAGGAAATAGCTAAAATGACAATGAAGGGGAAGTTATCATCATGGGTGACTTTAATCTTCCTGATGTAAATTGGAAAACAAAATTAGCTACTTGTGCCAGGAGCACACATATTCTAAACTCCCTACTGGGATTGTCTCTAAAACAAGTTGTTGAGGAGCCAACTCGTAAAGAGGCCATACTAGATTTAGTGTTAACAAACGGAGATTTGGTATCAGATATTACTGTAGGTGAAAGTTTAGGATCCAGTGATCATCAGTCAGTGTGGTTTAATATAAGAACAGTGATTGAGTCACACCACACAAAAACAAAAGTTTTAGACTTTAGAAAAACAGACTTTTCTAAAATTAGAATATGGGTAGAGGAGTCATTATCAGACTGGAGCAATTTAAATGGAGTCTAAGAGAAATGGGATTATTTAAAAGTTGCACTATTGAAGGCAACAGAAAATTGCATTAGGTTTGTCAGTAAAAGCAAAAAAATCAAGAAACCACTGTGGTACTCCACAGATGTGGCCAAAATAGTTAAAAACAAAAAGTTAGCATTTAGGAATTATAAAAAAAAACCAGAGTGAGGAAGACAAAATGATCTATAAGATTAGGCAGAAAGAGGCTAAGCAAGTTATAAGAGCTTCCAAATCACACACACAAGAGAAAATAGCACAGTCAGTAAAAAAAGGGGATAAAACATTTTTAGATACATAAATGAGAAAAGAAAAGTAAAACAAGGATTAGTTAGATTAAAAACAAAAGAAGGAAGGTATGTAGAAGAGGATAAAGGTGTAGCTGACTGCCTCAATGAATATTTTTGTTCTGTATTTACAGATGAAAATGAAGGAAAGGGACCTCAGTTGAGAAAAAGGATAAATGAGTCATTTATTACATGTGAGTTTACAGAGGAAGAGGTTCTATTTCAACTGTCAAAAGTAAAGACAATAAGTCAATGGGACCTGATGGAATACACCCAAAGCTATTAAAAGAGCTTAGTGGTGTACTAGCAAAACCATTAACAGATTTATTTAACCAATCATTGTTAACAGGAGTAGTCCCAGAAGATTGGAAGTTAGCGAATGTTGTGCCCATTTACAAGAAAGGTAATAGGGAGGAGTCGGGCAACTATATGCCAGTAAGCCTTACTTCAGTAGTGGGGAAAGTGATGGAAACCATGTTAAAGGATAGGATTGTTGAACATCTAAAACACATGGATTTCAAGATCAGAGACAACATGGGTTTACTTCACGGAGATCATGCCAAACTAATCTTATTGATTTTTTTGATTGGGTAACTAAAATTATAGATCAGGGTGGTGCAGTAGACATTGCTTACCTAGATTTCAGTAAGGCTTTTGACACTGTTGCACATAGAAGGCTTATCAATAAACTGCAATCTTTGAGTTTGGATTCAAATATTGTTGAATGGGTAAGGCAGTGGATGAGTGACAGGCAACAGAGGGTTGTAGTTAATGGAATATATTCGAAGCTTGGACTTGTCACCAGTGGGGTACCTCAGGGATCTGTACTTGGACCCATTCTCTTTAATATTTTTATTAGTGATATTGCAGAAGGTTTTGATGGTAAGGTATGTCTTTTTGCTGATGATACTAAGATATGTAACAGGGTTGATGTTCCAGGAGGGATAAGCCAAATGATTTAGGTAAACTAGAAAAATGGTCAGAATTGTGGCAACTGACATTTAATGTGGATAAGTGCAAGATAATGCATCTTGGACGTAAAAACCCAAGGGCAGAGTACAGAATATTTGATAGAGTCCTAACCTCAACATATGAGGAAAGGATTTAGGGGTGATTATTTCTGATGACTTAAAGGTAGGCAGACAATGTAATAGAGCAGCAGGAAATGCTAGCAGAATGCTTGGTTGTATAGGGAGAGGTATTAGTAGAAAGAGGGAAGTGCTCATGCCATTGTACAGAACACTGGTGAGACCTCACTTGGAGTATTGTACGCAGTACTGGAGACCGTATCTTCAGAAGGATATTGATACCTTAGAGAGGGTTCAGAGAAGGGCTACTAAACTGGTTCATGGATTGCAGGATAAAACTTACCAGGAAAGGTGAAAGGATCTTAACATGTATAGCTTGGAGGAAAGACGAGACAGGGGGGATATGATAGAAACATTTAAATATATAAAGGGAATCAACACAGCAAAGGAGGAGACTATATTTAAAAGAAGAAAAACTACCACAACAAGAGGACATAGTCTTAAATTAGAGGGACAAAGGTTTAAAATAATATCAGGAAGTATTACTTTACTGAGAGGGTAGTGGATGCATGGAATAGCCTTCCAGCTGAAGTGGTAGAGGTTAACACAGTAAAGGAGTTTAAGCATGCGTGGGATAGGCATAAGGCTATCCCAACTATAAGATAAGACTAGGGACTAATGAAAGTATTTAGAAAATTGGGCAGACTAGATGGGCCAAATGGTTCTTATCTGCCGTCACATTCTATGTTTCTAAGTTAAAGTGCGTTAGAGGTCTGGGGAGTCACAGATTTAACCATTATAACATACAGATATATACTTGTAATTTTGTGGCTATAAATTATTGTTGCTAATTATTAACACCAATTACTAATACCCATATTTCCCATTATTTCAAAACCATATGCGTAACAGGATAGAATTGTGAAACTCTCACAAGTGTCATTCAAGCAATCTAGGAGGTATATAAGTAAATTTTGCCAAAGCATTACCCCCTGTTAACCCTTAAACACTTTGCTTATTTCTGGACCTTCTATTTTGTTTTTTACTCCCCACCACAAGCTCCTCTTAAAAGCATAAAGGAAATCAGACAATACAGTGTGTAAATATTTCTAATAACTAATTTAAAATACAAAGCTTCTGGTATTTAGATCCATTAAGACTATCAAATATGTATAAGCATACTCTCAACCTTTGTTGGATATGCAATAAAGAACCAAGGAACTACATACATGTGTGGTGGACTTCTGAAAGGGTTAAGGAATTTTGGAATCTGACTTTTAGACAGTTAAAAAAGTTAATTAATACAGTAATTAGTCCCGAACCAGAATTAGCATTATTACATATGTTTTCCATCAGAACTTGGAATTAATGGAAAAAAAATGATTATACATTTCCTTATGGCCACACAATTATTAATAGCAAGAAATTGGATAGAAATTAGTTTACCAGATTGGCAGTCTTTAAATAATCAAATCTGTATGCGATTAAAAATGGAAATAGGACTAAGATGTGCAAATGAGAATTTTGAAAAAAGAATAGAATTAGTGGAGAGTTGGTTGAAGTAGGTTGTATAGTTTACCTTTATAAAGAGATATGAGTAAGGTATTGTTCTTCAAAACAAATTTTGATGGAGCCAAGCGTTCAATGTTATAGGTTCGATGCTGACTTAATTGCTTTTTTGTGTGTTTTAGTTAGTACATTATGTCTATATTTACTTATGCCTGTATGTTCTTTTTATGTAACTATATTTAGGTAAATTGGTATTTAAGGAATTTGTACTATGAAAATGTTATTTTATGGCCTGTCTTCTATTGTCTTTCAAAACAAAAGAGAAAATAACAACAGATTTATTAATACCTGAAAAAATTAATAAAAAGGATAGAAGCAGAAGCATAGACAGATAAGCTTCATTTCCCCATGATGTCCCAAATTATTGTTGAACTAATACGGTATAATAAAATAGGTATTAACAAATATGAAACTAGCTGTGCTTGATCTGCACTTTCTTAACCCCTTAAGGACAGAGGCAATTGTACACGTTCTAATCAACACATAATCAAAACAAAACCTGGAATTTGAGCTATATGACTGTAATTCACCTCGTTCATATTAAGTGCACTCACACTTATTATATATCATTTTGTACAGGGGAAATACTTATATATGAACCATAACTTATAAATAATGTTAGAGGAACAAAATCTATAAAGGTGTGAGAAATTAAGAAATTGTGTTTTTTTTAGTTATGCGTGTCATTTTAACTGTGAATGTCATAATACTGTTAGCTTTTCCTGTAATAAAATACACATAATTCAGCGATGTCTCACGAGTACAACAGTACACCCCATGAACAGGCTTTATGGTGTTTTGTAAAGTTAAAGGGTCAAATATAACATGTTGAATTTTTTAGTTTATACACATCGAAATTTGCCAGGCTGGTTATGTTGCCTCTGAGACTGTATGGTAGCCCAGGAATGAGAATTACCCCCATGATTTGCATACCATTTGCAAAAGTCGACAACCCGAGGTGTTGCAAATGGGGTATGGCCAATCTTTTTTAGTAGCCACTTCGTCTCAAACACTAGCCAATGTTAGCGTTCATATTTGCTTTTTCTCAGACAGTCCCCAGGATCGCGACCTCCGGTGGGTCCCTTAAGGACGGCATAGAACACCCACCATCCTTAAGGGGTTAAAATTAGAGTTTTAGAGCTTTAAGTCTTTAAATCCTGAAATGAACATTCTGGGCTCCATAACACCCTTATCTCTTGTTATGGTGCCACAATGTATTATGTGTTATCTTTCCATAGTGGCTTAAACTGTTTACAAACTTAAGTTGATTGACAACTATTTTTTTGGGGGGTGAAATTTGCATAATCCATTTAGTTATATTATATAAGACAATAAGAAATAA